ACATTTACATTCAGCAAGCATCTTTGAATCCCTTCGGGTTCTCCCCGATGTGGGAACACCTCATCCTGCTGCCCTCACTGCTTTGTGAAGCAGGTCTGCAGTGCCCTTTCCTGAGCGTCCCCATGAGACATGATCGAAAATGCGGTGAGCACTGCTGCCGAGCGCTAGCCAGTAGAAAGGCTGTGTGCTCATCCACCTTACTGACCCTGTGACTCTGGCTCTGTCCCAAGGCCACAATGACCATGAGAGGGAATGTGTCCTTCGATTCAGGACATCAGTGGCAGCCACGACAGCACGATAGAGACACTTAGGAAGGAGGCGCCTGGAGCTGCTTCGTGAAGGGGCAGTAACAGGGGATCCCTGTGTTTGAGCCCGGGAAAGTTTCTGAGGGATTAATGGCAATGTGCCTTTTATTGCAGGACTGTTTTAATTTAAACATTCACCCTGATTTTCAGTCAGGACTTGGGTTTTTACTTTCAGTCAGCACCATTTCCAGGTCGTGCAGTACTTTGTGTGAAGGAAGCACGGACACAGCTCAGCCTAGCACGTTTCACACACACTGTGCTGGCCTAGCCGCACCTCCTTCCCGTGTCACCCCCTGAGCAGATGAGCTGCACCGGGTGAAGCCGGGCTCCCACACAATCCCCACACTGCATCTCCCTAGGCCACTCGAATGACCCCAGACCCAGCCTTCTGCCAGTTCTCCCCCGCCACACACCATTCTCTCCAAACAGACCCACAAGGCCTCCGTCACCCACAGAAAAGGTCTGGAGTCAGAGTGTGACAGCCACTTGTGCAGAGGAGCTCACCCTGAATCTCAGCCAGTCATACACTGTGCTGATGGCCTGTTACTGAGATCACAGTTCCAGAAGAAAATAAATATCTTCTCTCTGGGGCTCAACTTGGGTACTGTGGATTTTCCCCTGCTGGCATCCCTTGTGGCCTGTCACCCCTGGACTGTCACTGACTTCCCTCTCTCTCCCCTGGGGCAGCTGGCTCACAGGACCAAGTTCCAAGGGATGACAGGTCAGAGTGAGCCCTATGCTCCTCTGAAATAACTGCCAGGCATCCTAAGTGCCTGGCTAAGAGGGCCAGGCAAGCACTACTCTGACAAAGTACAGTTCCTGCGCCTCTAAAGTGGAAACCAGATAATTTAGGAGATCAGGGAACAGTAGATTCCATGGCGTGCAGAAAACATCACAGGCAAGAAACCTCAGACACCACCCCCTGGGGCACTGTGGGAAGCTGCACCTGCTCCCCTTCGGGTACAAGTCGCAGTTTGAAGTGTGTGTCATGGTTTAACAGGGTTCACCAGATTCCACGTACTGAAAACTGAATTCCCAAGTTCATGATGGGGTTCCAGAAGAGGGGCCCAGGGTTGATGCGGACTAGGTGAGGTCATAGGGGTGTGGCCTGATGGGGTGACTGGAGGACCCCTCGGGACTTCTGCTTTCCCACCACACAATGCTAAGAGCCATAGCAGACACCAAGCCACACTCAAGGCCGAACTGTGAGAGGAATGTGACCTCCTTCGGAAAACTGTCCCGCCGCCTACTCCCTCGTGACAACAGAAAACACCTGGGAGAGGGCATCCCGGGTGTGCTGGGATCGAAGCCTCCTCCCACCAGCGCCAGCTCAGGTGCTGCTGTTACTCCAGACGAGGACAGAAACATCCTGGGAATTCAGAAGCGGAGCTGAGGGAAAGCACCGGCTGGCCAGCTCCAGGCCCAAATCCTCCACCCACCCGCTGCCTCCCTCGCGGCCCCCCCACCCCGCCTGTCAGAAAAGGGAGGCGGAGATGGCACTGCAGGCCAAGGAGCTCCGGGGCAGGGGCAGTGGGGCTCTGGGGATGCAGGTGAGGCCTGCTAACTGTCTCACTGTCCCTGCCAGTCTCAGCTGCCTCCACCCATCTTCGAGCACCCAGTGAAGGGATGCGAGCTTTCAGTTGATCCATTGCTCTTCTGAATTTACTTTCATTTGACTCCTGGCCCTGTAAATATACCTGTATTCGCTCTGTTTGCTCTTGGTCTTTGGTTTGTCAATTGACTGCTTGTCCTGTTTTTGTGAGTAACTTAATCATTTTGCTTCCTTTTCTTCCTGGTGGCCCTATTAAGGCTTAGGTAAGTGAAAAGTCAAGAAATCACTTAAAAATCCTCGTCTCTGTTATCTAGGCAGTCGGAGCGTGCCTCCACTCATCTACTCACAGGTCTCAGAGCCCTGTCTTTCAAACCTTATAGCAGCACCATAGGGAAAATAAAATGAAGTCAGTTCCCATCCATGATTTCAGGTGTGGGGTGGTAAGAAGCACATAAAACAAGAACCCTTCGGTGCCAAAGTGGTGATTCCACCGGCGAGTCCCACTGATGACATAGCTGGAATGCAGCACGGGAAACAGCCCGGGCTGGAGGGGAGCAGCCCATCAGGAAAGACACAGGACCTTTCACGGATGCCTAAATCTACGCCTCAAGACAACATATAAACTGGAGAAAGAGCAGAAAGATGGTGTAGAGTATTTGATTTTAGAAAAAAAATAAGAGGACTGATTAGGAGAGAATCTGGTGGGAAAATTGCACAGCAAACCACATCCCAGACTGAGAAAATGTGTGATCCTTAAAATCATAACGTTGGAGTACAAGCTCCATGGGAACCGTAGGCGATCAACAATCAAGGTCAGCCCCATTCACACCTAGCAAAGCTTGGGCTTCACATCCAACACGAGTTTTCCTCTGAAAGTGAGGAAGCGACCTCTGGAAACCGCTGCCCTAACAGGAAACAGAGTTGGCAAAATGTCCGGCCCTGGGGATGTCACCATGCTTTTGCTGCACCCAGGAAAAGAAGTTGGCCAAGTAGAGAGTGCAAACCTGAGTGCTGGAACTCATGCATTCAAAATGAAGAGAAAGTGGGTTTCATACCCTGCTGTTCACGATGGACAGCGACTCCCCAAGCTGGCAGAGCTTAGCAATGGTTTCTACAGACAGCGTCGAATCTTGGTCAAGAGGATAAGAAAAGCAGTCAAACAGGTGCTGTATGGAAATTTTCCAAAATGTGAATAAATGGGGAAAAAGACGATGTGAACAGAGCCAGGGGTCGATGTCATCTAGAAGCTCCTGAGAACTTACAATCAAGTGTAAGTTAGAAATCTCAGAGTTTAGACTATTTTGAGTCTTTTATATATCTACAGAAATGGGAGCTGGGGGTTTAGCTCAGTGGTGTAAGTGCCTGCTTGACAAGCGTGAGGTCCTGAGTTTGATCCCCAGTACCAAAAAAAAAAAAAAAAAAGAGAGAGAGAGAAAGAGAGAGAGGGCTCTGTATTTACAGAAATGTAACAATCAAAATGTTCATCTTTCTGAAAAATGATGTTGGCATTTTGATAAGGGATTATGTTTTCTGATCTTTATTATTCTATTCATTTTTTGTTTTATTCTGTCTTATTTTTAATTTCTCAAGGAAAGACGAAGATATTTCATAACTTCCTTCTTTTCTTAAATGTACTTGGTAAGATATATATATTTATATGTATATTTATATATGTATATATGGTCTCATACCATATATATATAAGGGTGGGCATATCAGGGTGGGCAAGAAAGAGTGCGGGGCCCAGAGCTGGGAGGTGCAGGTCAGAGCCAGGGATGGTATCACACACCCACCTGTAATCCCTGAACTCTGGGAATCTGAGGCAGGAGGATTACCAGCTCAATCCAGCCTGGCAATTTAGTGGAACCCTGTCTCAAAACCAAACCAAACAAAACAAAACCAAACATGAACAAAGGGCTGAGGATATAGCTCAATGTGAAGGCCCTGACTTCAATCCCTAGTACCATGTGCACACACACACACGTCCCCCACACACAAATAAGAAACAAAAGGAATCTCAGAATGGGAAAAACGTGTAGGTCCCACTTCAGCCTTGTGAGAAACTGGGAGAAGGAGGAAGAGCGAGCACAAAGAAGCCGAGAATAGCAGCCTGGGACCCGGAGAGGAACAGCAGCTACAGCCCTGGGAGCAGTCCTGTGCCGCGGCCAATGCTGGCCTGGGGATGGGGTGACACGGGCCTGGCAGTGGGGTGGGGCTCAGTGACCCCCAGCCATGCCACCACCACCTCCGCTCCTTCATTCCTTCCTCTCCCCACTGCGAAGTTCTCCCCTTGGAGGCTGCAAGGGGGTGACCTGCCTGGCCAGCCCCTGCTTCCAAACCACTCAAACCGCATTGGAGCCTCTGATTTCACCATGCCAGCTCCTACAGCTCTGTCAACAACTGGAGGCCCATTTGTTTAGGTACCAAAGGGCAAACACAAGTTAAAGCCTGCTCATCGGAAATAAGCAAACGGACTGTGCTGCCCTCCTCTCTCTCAGAGCACTGGCCTTTGCCTGGCGTTGAACCCCGGCCTCCTCAAGACCAGAGGGCTGCTGATCTGTATCTCCATTGAGACCCAGGAATATCTTTGGGGTCACACTTTCATCCTCCTGCCTCCACCTCCCAGCATGCTGGGATTACGGGCCTGGGCCACCACCCCCAGTAGATGTCTCTGAAATCTGAGCAAACAGAAAGACAGTGACCTGTATCTACTTCCTCCTGCAGGGTAGGGGCCTAACGGCAGTGGGCTCCTTCTCCCAGCTGCAGAACCAAGTCCCCGAATAGGAAGGTGTTTGTTTATTCTCAGGGTAGAGCCAGCTGGCCAGCACAGAGCCACCCTCTCCCCAGGAAAGGCTGTGCGAGCTCTGAGGGACAAAGGGCGCCATCCAGTCCTGCTTCTTGAGGGCCAGCTGTGTTTATCCCGAGAGCATGTCTGCAGCGGTTGATCTGCTCAGTCAATGAGAGATCCCTGCCGTCTTCATGTCTTGGTGGATTCCTTGTGACGCTCATCCCCTTCCAGTTCATGCTTCTTCAATAATAAAAGTGTTTTCTTTCTCTATTACCTTTAGGGAGATTTCTAAGCTGGAAAAAAAAATTGCTTTTAATGCCTTTGTCCTCCAGGTGCCAGCCATTCTGCTGCTGCCTCCTTGAAAATTAGCAGCTCCAAACTTCAAAACAGCTTCAAAGCACACTTGATGTCAGAACGATGGTGCCAAGCATCTGTCCTGGGGAGAGAAGTGACCCTGGGCACGCTTGCTTCTGGAAGGTCACGCACCAGACACGGAGGATGTGGCTCGGTGTTTTCACAGCTGTTAGAGTGACATATCTGAGACTAGTTTCCTTGACTATGGTTGGGGTTTGAGTCTATATAAGTAAAGGTTAGAACAGACTTTAAGATCTCTCTTGGAAAATAAAAAGATTATGACCCATAGTGTTAGAATGGTATCTGGAAACTTTTCCAATTGGGAAAAACAAGCATTTCAGGTGTTTTCACTGATGAGCAAATGCTGACCATGTACAGTTTTCACTGCAGAATAGTCATTGTGTTCTACCTGAAACCCTCACCTTCCTGATATAAAACGTTTCATGGAAACCAGTTGGCAGGATATTTTTCCCTGCCAAATCTATAGTAACTGGCCTTTGACAGATACGTATTTGCTGGTGGAAGCAGTGTGTCTCACCCAGGCAGAGACACATGAGCGTAGAAAGGGTGGCCGCTCCTCATTCTGACCCATGAACAAAGGCAGCCCTGTGGTGACGGACATGCAGGAAGGCTCAGCAAGAGTTATGGAAGGCCAAGTCTCTGAGGTCAGTAACCAGTGCACTTAGAACCAGAGATGACTGCAGTGCTGAGACCAAGGCTGTGGGTGGCCATGAGTTCCACATCAAAGCCCGCTTTCACCTGGAGTGCAATCCTAGGGCTGTGCCGTGAGCCTGCAGCAAGGCTTCTGTGTCCACAGCATTTGCTTTTCCAGTCTCGCCTTGGTCAGACTTAGTGACGGAGGACAGGCATCTGGACGAGAGGCAGCTAAGAAGCCACTGCACCCAGCTGCCCTTGAAACAGGATGCAGGCACGGCAGGAGGGCTGCTGGCTTCTCTTCGAGAACCGGGCACCACTGGCCACTCCCTGGCCCAGCGAGTGGTGAGCATTTGGCTGGACAGGGACACACACCAGAGCAGAAGACGCACCGGAGGCCGTGAAAGCCAGCCATGAGCATTTGTGGCTATTGCTGTTGTTTCGGGGTTGTTTTACTATTCTGGTATTTTCATTTTTATTAAAACTAATTTACAGTGCATGGTCACGCTCCCGGTAGGGAGCCAGTCTGAGGATGTAACACAACCTCATCCCTATTCATCCCCTCACCTGCCCCAGCTCGCAGTCCTCTCCCATTTGGAAAAGAGCTACCTCCTGCTTCCTACCATCTGCCTTTTATTCTGCTCCTTCTTTATATTTTGGGCTTCTCATGTAAGTGAAATCACGTGGTACTTAAGTTCGCATGTCCGTCTGATTTCACTTAACATTGTGGTTTCAAGGCACATTTTCCTACAAAGGACTTAAGTTTTCCTTGGTGGCAGAGTAGGGCTCTATGGTGGGCAGACCCCTCATTTTCCTTATCCGCTCCTCTGCTGAGGGACATACAGGCCACACCCAAGATTTAGCTACTGTGAGTTGCGCTGCTGTAAATGTGAGTCACTGTAAGGTGATGTATTTTAACTCTCTTGGGGAGATTACTAGAAGGGGAATAGCTGGTCAAATGGAATTTCTAACTCCAGGTTATGGAGGAATCTCCACACCAATTTCCATAGTGATTGTACTCCTTTTCTCCTGGCAGCCTCGCCAGTATCTGTTATTATTTGGTTTCTTGATAATGCCATTCTGTCTGGGGTAAGATAAAATTTTATGTTGTTTCAATCTGCATTTCTCTCATGGGCAGTTGTTATGGTTGATGTATTGTGTCATTTGAGAAGTTTTAGTGACTCAGCAGGAGCCAGAGTATTACTTCCTCATGCTGTGCAAGAGGAAGGCACAGAGGCAGTGTGAGTGCTACACCCACCCTAGCGAGGGGGGATGGCCTGTGTGTACAGTGTAAGGAGGAAAAGAGGCCTGCTCTCCCTCCCTTTGCTCTGGCTGCTCTTTCTGTCTTCTGCCGCCTTGAACTACTGCCCCTGGGCCATGCCACCCTGCCTTGGAGCCAGCAGATTACAGACTGAAACCTCCACAAGCTGTGAGCTAAATAAACCTTTCCTTCCTTAATTTTGGATGTTGGGTATTTTGTCATAGCAATGAAAGAAAAGCAATTAAGACATCAGTGATGTTAAAATTTTTAATGTATTTATTGGCCATTCATACATCTGAGAAATGCCTATTTCTATTTGATTGGCTCTTACATTTTGGGGGATGTTCTTTTAGTTCTTTATATTCTAGATATTGTCTTTGTCCAAGGTGCAGCTGGCAAAATTTTTCCATTCTGTAAATGGTCTCTTCACTCTTTTGGCTGTTTTGTGGCTACACAGAAAATGCTTTATTTGATATGATTCCATGCGTTGATTCTGTGTGTGTGTGTGTGTGTGTGTGTGTGTGTATCTGTCTGTCTGTCTGTCTGTGTATTCAAGCAGGGTTCTCTTCCGCAAGTCCTTACCTACACCTGTCTTTCAGAGCTTTACCTGTTTTGCCTTCCAGCAGATTGTTTGTGTTTTAACATTTAGTTCTTTGATCCACCTTGATTTCAGTTTAGTGCACAGTGAGACAGCTGTGTCCAGGCTCAGTATTCTGCACGTGGACAGCCAGTGCTCCCAGCACCATTTATGAAAGAGGCTATCTTTCTCCAATACGTGCTTTTGACCTCTTTGTCAAAGATCACATAGCTGACTGTGCTGGGGTTGTTTCTGCATCCTCTCTCCTGCTCCATTGGTCCTCAGGTCTGTTTTTGTGCAAGAACCATGCTGTTTTTATCACTGAGGCACCCTGCCTTCCCCAGAATTGCTTTTCCATTTCATGTACCTTCTCATTCCTTATGAGTTGCGGAATTGATTGCTCTAGTTTCGTGACAAATGCTGCTGGTGTTTGATTGAGGGTGCAGTAAACCTGTACATCCATGTTGAAAGTGTGGCTGGAACAGAGGAAATCTTTCCATTTTCTCAAACTCTCTTTGATTTTTTTTTCAGAGTAATGTAGCTTTCATTGTAGAAGGCTTTCACTTTCTTGGTTAGGCTAATTCCTAAGTATTTAATTTTTCTTGATGTTACTGTGAAAGATGTTGTTGCCCTAATTTCTTTCTCAGTGAGTTCATTATTAATGAACAGGAACACTATTGATTTTTGTGTGTTGATTTTGTGTCCTGATACATTATTGAATTTGGTGATTAATTCTAGGGGTCTTATGGTGGAAACTTTGAGACTTCTGTGTAGAGGATCATGTCATCTGCAGGTAAGGATAATATGTCTTCTTTTCCTATACACACCCCTTTTATTTCCTTCTCTTGCCTGATTAATCTTGCTAATGTTTCAAATTCTATATTGAGCAGGATTGGTGACAGTGAGCATCCTTAGCTTGTTTCTGATTTTAGGGGAAGTTTTCAGATTTTCCTCACTTAATATGATGTTGGCCATTGGTTTGTCTTAGATGGCATTTACCAGATTGAGATAAAGTCCTTCTGTACCTATTTGCTTCAGTTTTATGATAATGGATGTTGGGTTTTCCCAAAGACATTTTTTGCATCTGTTCAGATCATGTAATTTTTGTTCTTGCTTCTGTTTATGTGATGTTATGTGATGTTATGTTATGTTTATGTGACCTTTATTGACTTGCATCCCTGAGATGAATTTTACTTGGTCATGGTGTGTGAACTTTTTGGTGAGCAAGACTGCATTCTGCTCACCAATATCTTGTTGAGGACTTTTGTGTCCATGTTTCTTGAAGAAATCGGCTTGTAGTTTTCTTTTTTGGTTGAATCCTTATCTGGTTTTGGAATCAGGTAACAATGTTAGCTTCCAGGAATAACTTTGGGAGTACTCCTTCTCTTTCAGTTTCAGGGAAGAGATTGAAGAGTGTTGGTGTTAAATCTTCCCTGAGGTTCTTATAGAATTCAGCAGTAAACCTATCTGGTCTTGGTCTTTTCTTAATTGGTAGGGGATTTGTTTTAATTATTGCTTCAATTTTATTGCCTGTTATTGGATTATTGAGGGTTTTATATCTTCTTAGTTCACTTTTGATAATTTGTAAGTGTCTAAGAATCTTTCCATTTCTTGTGGATTCTCCAATTTACTGGAGCACAAGTTTTCAACGTAGTTATTAATAATCTTCTGGATTTTGGCAGTATCTATTGTAATTTCACCTTTTGTATTTCTAATTCTGTTGATTTGAGTCTTTTCTTTCCGTGTTTGGTAAGATTGGCTAAGAGTCTGTGTATTTTTTTAATACTTGATTCTTCGTACAGTTTTTAGTCTTGTTTCACTGATGTCTGCACTGATCTTTATAATTTCCCTCCCTGTACTAGCTCTGGATTTGGACCATTCTTATTTTTCTAGGACCTTGAGTTCATTATTAGGTTATTCATTCACTGAGCACTCCCTTTAAGACATCATACCTCCTCTTACCTGCTCATTTTTAGTTTTCTCTCACACACCAAATTCCTGTATCTACTGAGTCCTGACCCTGGGAGATATTTGCAAAGCTATGTGATTTTTTTTTTTTTTGGTCTTTTTGGTTTTTATCAGTACCAGGGATCAAACTCATGACTGCCTGCTTGCAAGGCAGGCGCTTATGCCGCTGAGCTAAATCCCCAGCCCCAAAGCTATGTGATTTTGAGTTTCCAGGAAAGGTTGGACAGCAAGACTCAGAAAGGCAGTGGGCTCCGGTCACACAGTGCTCCCAGGCCCTGGGCAGAAAAAGCTGTGCTCTCTCCCATTTTCCAGTGCACCTGATCCTCTGCACCAGTCACTCCCAGAGCTCCTGTCTCAGGCCAGACCTGCACTGGGAAGGGCCTGGCTCTCTTTGGGATTTGAAAGCCTGTCTCTAGGAGGCAGATGTAAGCGTGGCACCCCAACTGGCTGGGCCCATGGGCTTCTCATGTGTCCTGTAAGAGTTACCATTCTTCATGGGGTCCACTGTCCTAGCAGAGGTGGGATTGTCTTCCACTGTAAGGAAGGCTCCATCCCAGTGGACCTGCGATGCAGGCCCAGGAGCAGGAGACACCGGCCCTCCAGTCTCACACCCTCCCACTCTCGGGGCTTTCCGTTCACCTGACCCCTCGTCTTGTCCCCCAGTGCTCCTCAGCTGCCAGGGTCGCTGTGAAATTGCAAGACAAAGACTCTGTCCTGTCTTAGAAATCAGGGCAGTGGGGACAGTCTTCCTTTGTCCTTGTGGACAGTTAAGAGGAGCCCAGACTTTTGACTCCAGGTGACTGCTGGATCAGCCCACTGATTGGATTGGTTACTGCCCTAATCTCAGAAGTCTGGAAAAGATAAAAGGGGTGGAAAGAGCCTTAATTTCCCCTTTTTGTTCTTGTTGCTTTTTCTGTCTGCCACCGCCATGAACAGTTGCCCCTCTGCCATGCCAGCCTGCCTTGGAGCCAGCTGACTGTGGACTGGAAGCTCTGCAAACCGTGAGCTGACGAAACCTTTTCTCCTTTCACCGTGGGTGTCAGGTATTTTGTTTCAGCAATGAGAAAAGTAACTGAAGATCCAATAGTCTGCTGGTATAAAGATTAAATACTGCCTTCTTATCTCCTAAAAAAAAAAAAAAAGAAAGAAAGAAAAGTAACTGAGACTGCTTCTTACCTTTGAATGCGACCTTATCTGAAAATAGACTCTTTCAAGTGCACTCAAACTAAACCGAGGCCAGACTCAGAGAGAGTGGAGTAGAATGTGACAGTGTCCTGCAGAAGGAAAGCAGATGGAAGCCAGAACACGGGAAACCAGGAGACACGTATCCTCCTGTCATGACCCAGCCAGGAAAGACCGGGCCTTGCCAGCATTGCCACGAACCAAGAACAAGTCCCAGCCCTCCAAAGCCTTGATCAGATCACCTGACTCTGTACCAGTAGAGAGTAGCATTCTGGCTTTTAAAGTTCTTGAATTCAGCGCTGTTACAGAAGCCCAGCCAAACTCACATAGTGTCTATGCTGAACTGAGAGAAGCAGGCAAAACAGCCCCCCACAATCCACCAGGCCCCGATGCCAGGATCAAAATCAAAACCACAGAGCAGAGTTGCTCAGGGTGCTCAGAGCTCAAACCACCTCCCCTCACTCAGCAGGAACCATGTGGGGGCACAGTGCCTATGCCCGGTGACAGCTACTTGTCAACTGTCACCCTCCCGTTGCCCAAACCCACAGACGGGGCTTCCAGAGCAGAACCCTAGAAAGTGAGGCTCTTCTCACTCAAGGCACTGCCGGGCCCTACAGTGCTACTCCAGGGGGCAGGGGCCGTCACCTGTGCCATCAGCCGGACCACCACACAGCAGCCCTCTGAGGACCTCAGGCCACCCGACATACACGAGGCCGCATGGGAAGGTGACAGCACAGATGCCTCAGCTCCAACAGGGATGTCAGTCCCCAGACTCCGAGCTCTGTGGTATAAAAGACTGGGGAAGCAGGTACAGTGCATACTCGGGTGAGAGGGGAAGAGAGAAATGGGGCAAAGAGGGCCAGGAAAGAGGGGGGAAGGGGGGGCGAAGAGTGAGGCTCAGCTGCAGCTCTGCTGTCCTCGATCCCCAGCCTTGTCTGAGTCACGAGTTTCCCACTGGTGTCCTGTGGAACACCGTGTCTCAGCTCCTCCGAGTGTGTGCCGGCTTGTGGTGTGGATGTGGGTGTGCACTGTGCATACGGACCTTGTGCACCATGTGTGTCATGTGTGACAACAGAAAGGCTCAGGATCTCCCACTGCGATGCAGAGTCAAGCCTACCACACAGCAGCAGCCCCACAGAACATGGGGTTGCGCCCCTGCCCCAGCCTATTTCCAGCAGTGCCTTAACACTGCTCTCCCAGCGTAACAGCAGCAGGGGCACCGCACAGCTATGGAGCTGCCTGCCAGGCCCACTGCACAGGGCTTTCCACGGAAAAGGAAGCCGCTCTCCACCTCCACACAGCACACCTCCGAGTCAGAGGGAGAGAGAAGCATACTGCAGATCAACACCACTCTGCGTGGGCACCTCAGAGCCGCAGATTCAGTAAGCAGATGCCAGGCCAAAGCCAGAGCCATGATTTGTGCGTGGCAGAGTCAATAAGG